ATATATATATATATATATATATAGTAAACATCGAATGATATTATATTCGTAAATGAATAAATGAATAACCTCGTTAATTTGTCAACAAGGCCAACAAGTTGCAAAGCTTCATACTCTTTCTGTTCTTCCGACATTCCTTCCAAAGGATTAGGTTTTGGATGCTCGAAGCAACCAGTTACAGGATTAATCCTTCGATACAAAACGGATTTCATTGATATCAATTATAATTGTTGTTATAATGTTACTAGAATCTTAGACAAACTCACTGTTCCTTATGCTTCAAGTATTCCTCAGTTTCGCTATCTTCTGATTCAGAAGAATAAGTTGGCTTTTTTCTACTTGATCCCAATAATCCTTTATTTGCAAACATGCCAGCAGCATTCCCATATCCGGTATACTTGACCATACGAGCAACTAAATGACAAATACATACGTTAACCAAATACAGATTACAATTTATCAAATATTTATAACCTTACCGTTCTCTTTACACAGTATGAATAAAAATTCTGCAACGAGATCTCGTACCTCTACCACGGGAGAAGTCAATAATTTACACAGTTTCGCCCTTAAAGTAGTTCCTTCTTCTGGACGATGCATCACATCCTTTAAAGGTGGTAAAATCTAAAAAGATAAACGAATAACCAATACAACAATCTTGAATCTTTTGAAGCGTTCAAACGGAAAAGAGTTTAACCTGTAACCTAATATATTTTCTGATCAACCTCTCAGCTTTAACCATTCTGATAAGTGTAGTAACAATTGGAGCAAGATTTCCTACTAAATCATTTCTGTTATCTAGTCTTCTGTCTAAAAATTTTAATAAAACATATATTGCACTCATGTCCATATTTTGATATATTCGTTTGTGTTTCTCTTTGCTAGGGGGTATCATTACTGAATAACAATCATATGGCATTACCATTAGTAAATTTGCAATATTGCTGGAACAGGAATTGATATAGTATGACAATAATAAAATAACACACATACATAATAATACAAAATAAATACCTATGAAGATCATCTTCTTTCTCACATTTAGACAACAATAACTTTTTCAAAATTAAAACTAAATCGTTTTTCTCATCTTCTGTCGCATTATCTGAACTCATGTACAAATTAAATAATGCCTTTAAAATTTCACACAGCAATGTCATATTATCCTCCTTGATAACATGAGATTTCACTTCTCGACTGGTTATATTCTCCAATAGTTTTACCAGACATTTATCTCCATTTAATTCTGTTTTAATAACTTGTCTGGTGGCAATATTTAAAGCAGTAATGAGAAATACAATTCTGATATCAAATAACATTATTTCATATGGAATGTCGTCGCTATAGTTCTTCATACGTTCAATTAGGCGTTGCAGACAAGATGTTTTCGGTAATATTTCTTGTACCTTTGTACTATTGAATATTAAATTGAACAGCACTTTGAGCGCCTCGATGGTAACTATAAAATGAATAAAATAATTGAAAAAAAGAACTTAACGCTGTTTTCAATATTTCCTGAATAGGTATAAACAAGCTTACCATTGGTATAAGTATGCTCTTTTGCATTTGTGTCCTTTAAAGCTGCGTTATCTATTATAATACCTAGTCTTTCGTCTGTGATTAATTCGTATAACTTTGTTTTGTCTCTGCTACGTTAATGGAGAAAAACAACAGAATTACTTAACAATAATGGCAAAAGCTAGGTCTACATTTAAAGCAATAACACAAAGTGGCTGTCAGAAAAGTTCTAACGCTTTGCTAAAAATAAGAATGTGTTTATTCAATATTATTCCTTTGCGTGTGCCGTGTATTTGTAAAGTAAAATATAAAATCACACATTACAGCTCGTACATGCAATTGTGATGTTACCTAAGTATACGTAAAACGGATAAACAGCTGTGATGGAGTAACAACTGTGAATTATCTGAGAGACATTGAAACAATCTCTGCCACAGTTTCTCTCGTAGATCATCGTTGTTTAGTTCTCCGAATATGATTCTGCTTCCATACTGAAAACGTTTATGTTAATCCTTTGCAAGAGTTTAATTAATTAATTAAGAGTTAGTCCTTCGAAACATTTAAACTTACAGCTTCCTGAAAGGCGGCAATGTTCTTTGAAAATTCGTCGCTCGTGCCTGAGATTATTTCTTGCACCAATGCCTCCATGTTAATACAGTATACTGGTGACAATTCAAAAGAGATTTTAACGTACACGATTGATAGCTTTCAAACGTCTAAGCGACGTTTTACGCACGGATTCAGGTCAGTAAAACAAGATAACCTAACTTGAGCGCCATCTCCAGAAATCTGAATGCTGAGGGAAGAATACTTCAGAATGTCAAAATTGAAATTGAATCGCAAATTTTGCAAGGATGAGTGATAACCTTCCCATTTCCATCCCTTATTTGTATCAAAGAATACTTACGTTGACAGAGAGAGATTTGAATTTCATTTGTATATCGTGCGTGTATAGGTTATGTTTCATTTATGTCCAACGAAGAAGCGTGAAGATGATTTCGATTATTGGATCGATAACGTTTGAAATCGAACGTCACACGAACCGACTTTTATCTCGATTTTCTAACGGGCAGTTAGAAAGATTGGCTTCAGAAGTAACCAAGAATTTTTAAATGAATTCGCGTTATTCGAATTTAGCCCAAAATTTAGCAGTTCTTATATTTTGAACGTGAAGACGAGCTTAAACTTAATTTTCGAACTTTGAGAAGATCAAGGGATAATCGGAAGAAGGGAGGAGATGCAGGAACGACAATGATCGATTTAATTTGTTTGAGTTGTACGGTTCACGTATTTATTTAAAAATTACAACACCGATGCAGTTTAAACACAGTAGGAACTTCAACTTAACGTGTTTTACATATTTATTATTATGTATTATTGTGTATTGTATAGTGATAATAATTCTTATTAATTATGCTTACACATATAGTTCTCGCCAATAGTATTAATCTTACATGTTAGATACCTGAATGCAGCTTACAACTTGCAATGCTCTTCCATAGGAGAAAAATGATCTTACAGTTTTGCTATAATCAGTAGGAAATCCAACTTAACGTATTTTATATCCTCATTATTAATTTGTATGGTGATATTATAATTCTTACCATTGCACATATAGCTTCACTATTTTATAACTCATATAAATTTCCAATTGCAGTTCTCGCTAGTGGAATGACTAGTCTTCCATGCTAGAAACTCCTGAACGAAGTTTACAATTTGCGACGCTCTCTTCCCATAGGAGAGAAACGATCTAACCTTTCTCACGGAATTTGCAAACGAGCCTCTCGTTACCGGCGCGCAACATTTCATCGAGGATTGACCCTGTAACACACATAAGGATCGTTTCCAGGGGGAACGGTGGCCCGGAGAAAAGGCGTGGAACTGGCGATCAAGGGAAAACAGGTTTCTATTCGCAGAGACTTCCACTTACCGGCCGTCGACTCCGTGGTCGATGCTCCGACGATCTGGTTCAACGACTTTCTTCTCCCCGTACAAAACAAGTTACGGCGGGCATTTCTTTGACCTCTTAGCTCGTCTGTGTACGTACGTGCGCGCGCACGCACACGCACACACATACACAGTGCGTGCGGATTACATCACATTTCTGTAATCGCTCCGACCACCGAGTTTTTTTCTTTTCGCCGGAGGAAACGCCATGATCGGCGGAGACGTATATATCAGGAGAAATGGTTGGGGAAATGGTTCGTGCATTGGCGTAGGAGATACTGGATTGTAACACACACGCGGAACACTTATGTAAAACTTGCGTCATTTGCAATTTGCAGCTTACAATCCTGTTAATTCCGGCGGATCTCTCTGCTGAAGCTCACTCGAGGATGGTCTTGCTCGAGTTTTGTAACTTGGAAACGTAAAAAGACAGTTGAAGAATACAAAGGGGACAATTTAGACAAATCTTTCTCTCTCTCTCTCTCTCTCTCTCTCTCTTTCTCTCTTCGTAGTTATGCGCTATTCTTATCGTCCCATCTTCTACACTTTCGCACGGATCATCTCTCCACGTTACAAAGGACTCACCGTCACTTAGTCTTAGTCAGATTATTTTTGACCGTCGCTCGCCAACGGCGAAGAGGAGAAAGCGAGGAGAAGAAAGACTAAACGCTTCGATCGCGTCGGATGTGCACATTAGGCGTGGCAAAGAAAAGAGCAGCGAGATACAACAGGTGCCTCACACAGGAAACACGCCGGCATTGTCGAGTTCCAAGGACATACCACTATAAAAAAGAGAGAAAGAGAGAGAGAGAGAGAGAACTCTCCCATTCGATCCAAGCAGACATAAAAAGGGCGCGGAAGAATAGAGAAAGAATGACCTTGAATGGTAGGGTTGTCCAACGAACAACGGGAATAGCGTGCGCGTAGATGCGTAAATTATGCGCCACTTTCTACATGAAACACGGTGTTCCTGTTTCTCTTCTTTCTTGAAAAGAAAGGATGTTTGAATAAGCTGTTAACAATTTGCTGTTAATAATCCTGGTGAAACTTGTCCAGATTCGAGGGACGAACGGATAATAAGAATTCCATTCTCTATGTTATATTTTATTATTGTAAATTATATTTCCAGTGTCTATGTTACTAGAAGTATATCGATTTGATAAAGGAATTAAACGTTTTATTAATTAATTAATATAACTGGAAGATTTTTCTGATAAATAAATATCACAATAATTCAAATTTGTAAAATCTGGCAACATATTGGAAAATATGTTCAAGATAATTATTATTGAAATATTCAAACAATAATGTAAACTATAGACACAGTAAAGACATATTTAAACTGTAAAAAGGGAGAAATGGAATGAAAGGAAATTAATAAATGTGCGACTAACTGATCTCTGTGTAATATTATTTCAGCGGCTGGTTTGGTGGAACCCGAATCTCGAGAGTCAGTTTTCCCGAAATTGTACGAATGTCGGTTAGAGGGGAGCGAACGATGCGTGCGTGCACGCATGTTGCGTGCAGTCAGTCTGCGGTGGATGCACTTTTGGGAAATCATGCATATACGTGGCAACATCGCACAGCAGGGCTCACATTCCACGTGATCAGGACCGGTTTGCGGGTGTCGACCCACTGACACTCGTCCACACAGATGAACCTTGGCTCTGTATGTAGAATACACCTTACATGTGCTTCTTTTTTTTATCG